CAGAACATTAATAATAACTATTAACAGAAGGCAAATGTATCACTGCATTAATAAGGACAGAACAATTCACATCATAACGACCTTGGGCCCACGTCTATTACTAGGGACAGAACGACCTTAGGTCCATATCAATGCCATTAATGTAATCAAAGCACAATATCAATTAACTTCATCAACGCAAAACATCAATGGGATAGGCCATTCATAATTAACAATACTTAAATCCTAATTACAGGAAGTAAGTGAAACATATCGTTACACTACTATTACTCATAGTGATAGGTTTCTGGTAACAGTGGGACGATGTCCTCATCTTGACCTACAAACACAATGCACATAGCAGATTATGAGAATAAAACCAATCTCATTCTTATTCTTTAATCAATAGCCATGGTGGTTCTAAAATCATTAATCCTCCATAGGTTATAATCTATGCCTCAGAAAATAGGACGAATCGATAGGAAAATGGTTTAGACGAAGAAACGGTACAAACCGGTAAACAGAAAGTGAACATTCGTCACTAATTTAGGCATAACTACTTCTTTATTTAGAATTTGGGAGTGGGACCACCACCATTGGAAACTAGACTTTCGGGGCTTGATTTTAGGCTCACGAATCACTCAAAACGGAGTCCGGATGCAAAAGATATGCCTATTCAAAATTGGCTGAACAGAGCTGTCCCCGCACTTGCGGGAAACAGGGCCGCACGTGCAGGAATTGTGCCGCACGTGCGGGACAAGGTGCTTTTTTAGAAAAATCAATTTTGGGGCTGGACATGGGCTGCTGCACGTGCAAGAAGAGCCACCGCACGTCTGGCTCTAGGCCAGTTTGGCTGTCCGAAAATGTTATGAGCTCTAACACTTGATTTTTCCATTTTTAAGCTTGGTTTCAAACTCAAATCACCCAAAAACATGTAAAATCTCCTCATAACATGATAAACTAACATTAATCAAGTGTAATTCCATTTTAAACAAATCAATCCTTGCCTCAAAATAGAAATGCAAGTCTCTTCTTCTATATAATCAAACTTCTATAATATATACCCCAAAATCATACAAATACATCTTACACATGGTTGATCTTCACACCAAAACTTGGTATTCCATGAATCATTCTTAAGATTGAACCCAATTCAAGCAAATTTAAGGAAATCAAGGTTCAATTCCTTAAGTTTAACTCATTTTGATTCTGTAGACACCCCATTTTTGACCGTCCTCAAGACTTGGTTATCATTGTAGGTACATCCATCCACAAGTTCAATTGCTCATCGAGTGCTCGACTTTCATGGCGGAACGTCACAAGTTTGATCTTTCCAAACCCTGTATCCTTTCTGCCTCATTCTTGGACCATGTGTTGGCCCTTCTAGCTTGATTTTCATGGGGGCACTGTCGGCCATAGTTTGGCACTACCGGCCATGCTTCTTCCTCTGCCTGCTACTGATGATGCCTGCCGGCCATCAGTGAGGCACTGTTGGCCACCACTGATGGCCGGCAGAATACTTGTCTCAGCAGGTTTCACGCCAGATCTTTTAAGCCAACTGCTTTTCACTCATCTCCCCTTCATACACGCGTATGGAGGGATGAAGCTCTTGCCAAGCTTGTTTAATAAGCTTTGCATTGCCCTCTTCTATATAAGGAGAGACCTTTCCTCTGTAACAAAGGTTCAACCATTTTTAGAGAAGTTGTATCTCTCACTCTCTCTCTCTCTCTCTCCCCCCCTCTCTCTCTCTCTCTCTATTTCTCATTCTCTCTCTATATATTGTGTTTGTTTGTGCTCTAAAGTCCATTTTTCTTGCACTTTTACACTACAACACATAGTGATACACCACCATCTTTGGGCTGAGGTTCTTGGGAGTGTTACTTGAGCTCTGAAACTTGGTTTTTGGCCTTAGAGGTTGCTGGTTTCGAAGTTGATCTTCAAGGGTGAGTATATTACCCTTTTTAGCATTTATTTGTATCTCATTTTTTTCCATCCTTGCATATTGTTTTAGGCCTTGCTTTCAACTGAAAAAATTTATGTATTTAAGTGCTTTTGATGTTTGTTTAAGGCCTCTTTGGTGTTTAGGGTGTTCTACCCTCTTATATGCCTTGTTTGGCCTTGTTTTGTACCTTGCTTTAAGGCCTTTGAGTCAGTCTTTGTTTGGCCTTTTGGCCACTAAAATCTAGTGGATTTTCAGTAATAGGCATGTGGTTTTGAGGCCTAAAACCAGAGGGGGGTGACCCCCTCTCTTTTGGTTTTGTTTGCTTGAGTTTTTGGCCTATCAAAGGAGCATGTATCCCTTTACTTTTGAGGCTTAGTTCAGGCACCTTTTTGTGACTTTTAGGACCTGCCTTAACTCTCTCCATGGCTAGTTTGGTCACCTTATGCATGCTTTATACAGTTGTAGTGTAATTCTTGCAAACTAGCCTTATATGCCTCATGAAGTAGCATGTTTGTTAAGCATGTATGGGCACCATTTCAGCTTGTTTTTGGACATTATTTAGCATGTCATGACTCTATTTTAAGTTGGTTTGATAGCCTCTTGCATGCTTTATACACTTGTAGTGTAAACTTGCACACTAGCCCAACATGGATCATGCTTTAGACCATCATTCTAGTGTGATTTTGGCTTAACTCCAAGAAGCTTTTGGCCATGTTTTACCATGCTTACGGTTTGATTTGTGTTGTTTTGGTCATGCATGCATGCATTGCATTGTATAGCCATGTTTCATTCTAGCTTGTTAGCTTTGAGTTTCCAAGCCACTACCATGCATTGCTTGGGCTACTTTCATGATTTATCATCATTTGAAATGTGATTTCAATACATGTAGTGTGGTCATACACTTGTATTTGTCACTCTTTCAATGCTTTGAAGAGTTGATGTTTCATGCCTTAAGAATGGGTCATTGTGCATGCCACCATAATTAGGCCTTTGGGCTATCATTTCAGTGTATTTTTGGTCTTGTTTTGCCATGATATAACTCTGATTTTTGTTGGTGAAGCCATCTCATGCTTGGTCTCAGTAAGTGTAGAGCAATCCTCCCTATTGCCCTCGCATGATCCATGTTTTAGCCCTTCATGCTAGCATGTTTTAGCTTTGGTCCATGCATGTTTTGGTCTCATCTTGACATGTTCTAGGACTGTATTGGGTTGCCTTCGCCATATACTTCATGTTTTGCATAATTGTAGTGCAATTGGCCTTGTTAGCTTTGAGGTTTGAGCACCACAGCATCCCTAATTTGTGACATGTATATGATTTAGCATCAATTACCATGACATTTCAGAGCATATAGACTTGCCATGGTCCTACTTTTTTCGCCCTTTGAGTGCCTCTAAGGGTTATGCATTGTTGCCTAGTTTATGGACCAATATGTGTGCATGAATGTCTTGCCTTTTTGGTACCTTTGTTTTGGTGTTATGGCCACTGATTTGGGCATGATTGAGATCTGTCCACTTTTGGTTTAAGTCCATTGAGTATGTGGTTTGCATGTTATTGCATGCTTGGTACATTGCATGTTGTTGCATGCTTGAGTTACATTGCATGTTTGCATGTTTAGGTTACATTGCATTTGGAATGCTTGAGTTCGGTTTGCTTCCTTTAACCATTTTATATTTTATCTGTATTTTATTCAGCATGTTATTTTTCCTGGGATTGAAGGTTTGTTTTGTTCATCTCATAATTTTGCGATATGCAATGTGAAATTATGTAATGTGAGTAGTTTTTCCCAACAATAAATTCATTACTTCGCCTTCAAGACTCTGCTGGTAACAAAATTTCTCTATAGGTGTGGGATTGAGGAACTTTAGACATTATACAATAATATTATGGGTCTCTTCCATTACTAAAAATGTAAGAGGGACCTTAGACTAATTTTCTCTAATATATATATATATATATTGTAATTTTCCTAATATATAAGTAATGTAATTCTCTTATTATTTAAATAAATAATAAATCATTTTAAAAATGAGATTTGAGATCGTTTATTTACTTAACAAACCCAATTCCTAACTAGCCGAAACTTGTCAAATAATTCAATTCATTGATAATCCTGTACAGCCCTATCCTATAGTAACATGACACTGTTTTATTATGAAAAGACAAATATATCTCAAAATAAAGATATAAAATAGAAAGGAAAAGAAAAACAAACAAAATAAAAAGCTACGGAGCTTTACTGATTTTCCACACCATTTTCTCTCTAGAATCAATGTTAGTGAATTCAATTTATTATTTAAATATATTATTTAGAAAAAATAATTGAAAACTTTATTTTCTCAAAAATTAATATTACGATCATCCAAGTTAGTTAAACATTTTTCTCCAACTTTGAGTAATAAGAGAAGTAAAATATGTTTTTTTTTTCTATTAGCTAAAATCTCTTAATGAAATTTCTCTATGATCATAGCAGAGAAATTTCAAAATTTCTTTGAGAAATTTCTCTGTAAAAATATTGAAAGATCCTAACTACGATGAAATTATTGTATGTTTTCTTTTGTCTTTTTATCTTGTAAAATATTAATATCAGAGATCTTAAAAAAAAAATTCCTTTTATCAATTATCATCAATAAATAGTAAATACTATTTAATAATTTATGTTATCTTCTGCTTTGCTAGCTTCTTTAAAATGTGCTCAAGGAATGTGACTTTTGAAAAAAAAGGTCTTTACATTTGTTTCACCAAACACCAAAAATTTCCATAAAAGGCCTTCTATTGCCAGAAAGCACTTTGAAAAGTGCTGCCAAACGCTACCCAAATATATCTTCTTGTTTTTTAATGATTTTAAAATTCTTTAACGTACATTAGTATTATTAATAATCTTTCATCTTATTGTGTATTTATTGAAAGTAAAATCTAACAGTTCTCTATTAAAGAATTGGGCAACGTTGTTTATTTTCTTGGCATCTCAGTCCATCATACATTTACTCACTATTTCCTTTCTCAGGAAAAACATGCCGAAAACCCTTGTATAGGGCAGGCATAAGAGGATTTACAAATTGCAAACAATACTAACCTCATGTGAAAGTAAAATTTTCCAGAGTAACTTGTTATATGTATATATAACAATTATGATACATAAATTACAACACAGTTCACCCAAGTGCAAGACTCGCACAAACAGAGACAGGGAAAGAAAATTAGAGATCAAGATCGAGGCTTTCAGATTTGGCTATGCTCATCCTGAATAAAAGTAGAAAAATTTAAGAAAATACCATACAAACAAGCCATGAAAATGTATTACAAAACAAAAAAACCTCTTCAGGCCTAAAAATTGACAATATCACAGCTACCTAGAATTTACAGTTTTCCACACCATCGCTATACAGGACACTTGATTGCTTTTCAATGAAGTGATCAAAGTCTCAGTCACCAAGTAATAAGATGATTACGAAATTTCAGTCACCTGCAAACCGCTCCAATTAATGAGTAAGATTTTCCATCATAGAATCTATCCCTGCTCTGGCCATGATCGATGTGGTTGAAACTTCGTAGTTATATATAACTGCACTTTGTGTATTGTGTGGTGCTGTTCTTCTATGCAGACTGCAAAGTCACCGTCCCAGAAGTAGTTTTCTCATACTCTGCACAAGCCTCGGGGGTGTCTTCTTCACTAGGTGGAACCAACTGCCAGAATAGCGGTAGATATTTGTCCCACTCCTTCAAAATAGAAGAGCCTATGCCACTCCCAGTTTTTTCCTTCATCAAAAGCAAAACAAGCCGTTCATTGAACTAAGAAACGAATACACATACCAAATGCTTCTTTCTACACTAACATATATAAAATCTTAAAATCCGAGGGAGCCACACAAAAAAATATCGACGCAAAGGCAATCTAGAACTCTACTCATTGCAGGCAATAGGCATAAGATTGGAACTTGGTAAAAGAACACAAGATTACAAGATCATGGCAAATATTTTCCAAAAAACTAAAGGAGAACTTACGTGTAGGTCCTAATATGTGGACTTATAGTTCAATGGGTCCTACGATAATTAAAGGTGTTTTTCATCAAATACTATTAAAAAATGTCGCTAATTGTTAATTTTCAGCGACAGTTTGAAAATTGTCACAAAAAATGCCAGTAATTATAAGTTTAAGCAACAATTTTAAAAAAATCATCACAAAAAGTCGCTAATTTTCAAATTTTAACGATAGTTTGAAAAATTCGTCACAAAAAAAATCCGTAATTGTAAGTTTCAGCGACAATTTATAAAAACCGTGACAAAAAAAAGTCACTAATTGTCAATTTTTAGCAACACGCAAAAAATTGTCACAATTATTTTTAGCGACGATTTTACTAGGATTTATTTTCAATAAGAGTTGATGAGAATTAAGTCTAACTATTAGGACCAATTGGTAGTTTATCCAAAACAAACTAAAAAGCTCTGACACCTAACAAGAATTTCATAAATAATTTAGCAATTAAACTTGCATTTTTTACTTTTGAATACCTAGTAACTTACAGAAAACAATGTAAAAGGCATTTTATGGAGAATTTGAATGTGTTACAAGGCATGTAATTGCATTTTGGTGTTGTGTACGTGTGGTCATGATCGTGCAGTTTGTTTAGCACACTTACAACATGGGCTTCGATCAGGCACTTTAGCTGCATCTGCCCCACAGGGGCAACCACTCTCTGGATCTTTACAATTTCCTTATTTACCTGGTCCACAATTATACAAGCCATGACTAGAGAATCAACAGACTAAAAACTAATATTACTTGGTGGAAAATAAAGCAGCGAGGACAAAGCAAGTGCTCAAACTAGTTGTACAAAAATCAAGATTTTGTATACTAGCTTCTGTTTAAGTAGTCCAGGAGCACCATGTGGAATTGCCTATGTGGTGCTCCAAACCAATCACATGTTGACCCACCTAGTGTGGATTGTGGTTTTTCTTTTGACAGAAGTACCAAATATACAATACCATGTGGTTACTCCAGGAGTATTTAATAAGTTTCCACTGTTTCATAGGGGTAAGAAAGGTATTTGACACAAACCTTCTGGATAAGAGTATCATCGTCATCAAGAATGTATGCCAAACCTCCAGTCATACCAGCAGCAACATTTCTACCCACTCTGCAAAAAGAACATTGAATATGCATGTCAATTAATAGGAAAATTCTGAATACAGAAATCGATCACAGAACATGACACAATTCTCACATGAGGTGGATCCCACCTTTTTGTGGGTCTCACAACCATGTGAGAGAGTTGCGTCCAGTTCTGTGATTGGTTTCTGTGGAAGTAGAAGAACAGCAAGTAATATGGCAGATGAGGAGACAATACTTACTTTCCAAGAACAACCACACAACCCCCTGTCATGTATTCACAACAATGGTCGCCGGTACCTTCCACTACAGCTTCAGCAAGTGAGTTTCTCACTGCAAAACGCTCCCCGGCTTTCCCTCTGACAAAGACTTGGCCACCTGTTGCCCCATATAAGCAGGTGTTTCCCACTATAGTGGCTTCCTCGGGGCAGAACCCAGTATTCTCAACGGGAGTTACAACCAATTCCCCTCCAGCCATACCCTGGAAATTAACTGCTAGTGTCAGATTTTACAAAATGATTTTTTTCTTTTAACAAAATGATATAGAAGGTGGAAAAGGTAATGACCGTTCAAACCTAAAGAAATCAAACTCCACTAAAATGGTAAGGTAGCTTGACCGAAAATAACCAAATTTACACTTCATTAGCATAAATGTATAGTTGTATCAATATGAACTAGTTGAATTGAACTTGATTGATTGATCATTTTCATACTACAATACAGTGTCAACCCAACAACACTCCACTTTTGAGTGAAATAAGATTACCTTTCCCACATAGTCATTAGCTTCTCCCACCAGCCGAATGTTCATTCCAGGTGTCAGAAAACAAGCAAATGACTGTCCAGCACTCCCTAAGAATCTAATACATAAGAGAATTTCTGATTATTAATGGGATTGCACTAAACTGAACAGACAATGCCAATCCCACACACCGAATACCACAAAGCAAAAACCTACGTTATATTCAGCTGCCCAGCAAAACCAGTGTCACCGTATTTCTTTGCAACTACACCTGCTATACGCCCACAAACTGCACGGTCCACATTGTATATCCTTATGCTTTTATTGACAACTTTCTCATTCTCAATTGCATCTGATATCTGCATGAAAAATGAAAATTTCCTTAGATTGTGACCAGTGACCACAATAAGCAAAATAGAATAATGATGCTAAAAGAAACTAACAAAACAAGAAACTACTTTGGAAGCAAAACTTTCAAAAACAACTTTCAAGAACTATTGCCACCAACAATTACTTATACTTTCAACTCTTAAAAATTAATCTTAGTCATTAAAAAAATTCAACAACCACGCTATCACGGTGATAGAACTTCACATCAAGCTTTTCAGTTAGAAGTTCCAGTTGCACACAAGCTTATTAGTTGGTAGAATTAGTTTTTTTAGCAATGGCCCTGTAATTCAAAAGGAAAAAAAAAAAATTGATTGAAAGCGCAGAAATTCTTTTATGTTCATTGCTCAATTACAAACTGTAATCAAATAATTGTTTACCTCTGGATCTGAGAGTACAATATCATCCAAAACGGGGCCATTACTATGAACATCCTGAAGCCTGATTTGAGTACTGCTCCACTTTGGTAATCCAACACACTGTCAAAAAATGAAATGTAAAAAGGAATATTTTATATACATAATAAGGCAAGAACAAGTGAATGTTGAGATGATAGGGAAAACACACGGCTTTCTGGATACATACAGAGAGAATATAACTGAGATCAAGATGCTGTGTTTTCATCAACGATACATCTCGTGGTCCTAGTAGATCTGTTCGGCCAATTATGTCATCCAGCTTCTCATAGCCCAGTTGTGCCAAGATGCCCCGTACCTGACCCAAAAACATATCGATGACCATTGGTGAATAGATAGTGGACAGAGAAAAACTAAAGATATCAAAATTTGTGGAGAGAATAACACGCGGCACACCTACAGGCCTAGACAGATTCACAAAATTAGAGTGGAAAATTGAGCCAAGAACAGAATTGGCTTATGATGCTCTTTTTTTTTGGGGTGAATTAATTGATCTTAGGATTTGACACATAATCATAATCAAAATTTGAATTTTATTATCAATTATGAAAAAATTGGATTCACTTAATTAAGAATGAAGATCAAATTGTTTGCGGTCCACATTTCAAAATTCAAAATCTTACATGCTTGGAATTTTTAAGATAGCTGATCCTCTGTAATACAAAAAACAACACGTCCCCCAAAGTTTAGCACTTCTGTTCTCATCCTCACAGTACCTTACAAACTTATATTCGCCCTTTCCACAAAAGCAACTTTTTTCCCTAAATTCCACCAACTGCATAATGCAATATGGGAAACTTGAAAGTAATTTCAAACCCATCTATATTTGTATTAATTCTAGTTTTCCAGTACCCTCGAACCTCATCTGGTTAGATTTCTTTCTCCAGCCCCCATTGTTTATGCGGTGATCCTTGTTACAAATAGTGGATTTGATCCTTATTGTTTCCATTGTACTGTCTAGCTTTAGCAGGTGAGGAATCTTTGTTTTTATTATTATTATTTTTTTTTTAATGTACATATAACATTGAAACATCCAATTTAAATCACCATCAAACTCTCTCTTTTTTCGCTTTTTCCCAATCTTAGCCCCAATCCCATTTTAGAAAGAATTTCATGAACCTTGAGTGGAGATGAACAAATTTTGATTTGCTGCAATGCCAAGAGTTTCTTTATTGGATGAGTACTGCGATATGGTCTATCACCAGCAATGAGTTTTTATTCAGTGCCATGTTGTGTATTTGAATAAAAGACAGGTCCATATTTAATCAGGAATCTAGTGTCAAAATATAAGACACATGTAGAAAGTTCACCCAATTATACATGACATTATTGACAACACAGTTTGGAATTTATCAAATCATTTCATAATCCAAACATCATCCCAAATTTCAAATTCTACATTAGGTAAATTTTCAATGAACTCGAACAAAAATTATTATTACTTCAATTTTATTCTGGTAGAACTAGAACTAAAATGCAACCAAAAACTCAAATTCCAATTCCATGGACCATTTATAGAACCTAGTAATGTCACAAATTGAACATAACTCAAGAATTTGGTTATATAAATCAAGTGAACAGTCAATTGACATAAAATAAAACTAGGAAGGTGCCATCTGTTATGCACATTGTTCATGAAATGTTTTTCAAGTGCAGCTATACCCCCATTACCTCTGCCGCTTTTTTTTATCACACATTATAAGAGATTTTTCCAAGTGGCAGCATTTGGCTTTTAGCCTCCTGTCAGACCATAATTTCTCCCATGCCAAACTGCTGGTCAGACAACCTCCAGTGTTGTTTTATATAACATAATAGATGAAAAGGTCAAACTGGAGACTCTAGGCATGGAAGCGCTAAATCCATCAAACATCCAAAAAGACAGCATATAGTTACCTCTTCAGCAACATATAGAAAGAAGTTTACAAGATCGCCAGGCAAGCCAGGGAAACGAGCTCGTAGTTCTTCCCTCTGAAATATGCAATTAGTCATTAGACAAGGGAAATGAGCAGACATCCAGGTATCTTAGAAAGAGCATAGGAATTTGGACACAATATATTGTTGTAAACCTTAATACCTGACTGGCAACACCAACTGGACAATTATTTGTGTGACAGATGCGAGCCATAACACATCCAGTAGCAATCATTGCTACAGAACCAAACCCATACTCATCAGCACCCATTGCTGCAGCCATTAGGACATCAAAACCACTTTTGAAGCCTCCGTCAACTCTAAGAATGACCCTCTCTCTCAGTCCATTTTCAATGAGTGTCTGTACAGAAGTCATCTCTAAACATTTAGAACCTGAAGTAATTCAGGAGAAATAAAAGGAAGAAATCTGAACCATTTATTTAATGTTGTAAGCAAACCTGATGCGTTTCTGTAAGCCCAAGTTCCCAAGGACCACCAGCATGCTTGATGGAACTTATAGGGCTGGCTCCGGTTCCCCCATCATGCCCTGATATCTGCAAACCAAATTACATGTATCAGTCAATTGATAATATTCCTACCTTCTCTAATACATCACAGAATTTTGGTTACTGTGTTGGAATGAGAGCAAAAAATGTTACTTTTACAAGATGTGTTCTCGTATGTCCAACTGATACTATATATAGTTATGAAGAAGTTATGTAGATGACAGTATCTAATAAACAAAACTTTTCGAGTTTAATTGGTTCAAAAGCTGCACATGTTCTAATTATGTGAAGTCATTAACAAATGAAAATGAAGTTCCAAAGAAAAAAAAAAGAACTACATGTTTAGAGCACAATTACCAAGTAAAGGCAAAGCCTATGATGTATCAAGTTTGAGTTGAAAAGTTTACCCTCTAATGTCGAGTTCACATTGAGATCAAGTTATCTCTACCAACCATCAAATATTCCCATTTTCTGCTTTGATTGGTAAGATTTACACTATATAAAAATCTTGAGACCTAAGTAGCCTTGTAGTTAATCAAATAAATCCAAATTTGCAACCGCCTAAGAAAAGGTAAATCACCTTACTAGCACAACTACAAATATTAAAGAAACAAACTTATAATATTATGCACAACTAAGAAAACACGGGCACGGGCACAGGTTACATGGGACACAATGAATTTCAAAAAATAAGGATACAGACACAATGAGCATACAGCATTATATATTTTTATTTTCTATGTATATCAACATAAAATCCAAAAATAATAGAAATTAACACCAGTTCAACGAGAAAAATAATGAAATGCATTTAAGTTCCATAATATATGGATCATCCATAAAAATGCATAAATCATAAGTCAAAGAAGATATCATCTAATACATCAAAGAAAAATTGATGACCTAATGGTTGACTAACGAAGGGGGTGTTTGTTATGCGATTTACACCTCAGGGGGTGGGATGTATTTTCTAGAACATTGAGAAAGTTAAATGTATTTTGTCAAGGGGTGGGGCGTGTTTGTAATTTACACAAAAATTAACTTTGTGAAAAAGCTTTAGCAAAAGGTGGTTTATGATTCTATTGAATTCCTTACAGCCACCTGACATTGCATTTGCTCTGGCACAAATTGCTAAGCACAGAAACAATTTATCCAAAAACTTTGTGACTTTTATATTCCATTTTTATGGATTTTTTTTTTAAAATTATGTAGCAACAAGAATCCATTGAAACAATTTGCCTAATTACAGACATTGATGCGTATCATTATGTTCTCAACCAAAAAAATATATATTATGTTCGTAAGAAACTCATGCAGTAACAATGTGAAAGAGAGTTATTCATCCTCTGCCAGTCAACCATTTGTCTTTTTCTATTTTTTTTTCTTTCTTTTTTTCGAACAAACATGGTGTCCAGGCCTCATAGAGGACATGCCCAACGCATGGCACACGCAGATCCCCCCATCGTACACACAAACCATGGAATTATTTTAACCAAATAATTTTCTTGTACTTCTGAAAGTTCATCATTACCTGAAAGTTAACAATATTGACAAATCTGTTAAAAAAATATACATGGGAAAATTTTCAAAAATTTTAATTGCATCACTTCTAGATGACAAGCCGCTCATAATACCTGTATAACATCAGCGTTACCCTTTGCAACCCCAGAAGCAACAGTACCTATTCCAGCTTCTGCCACTAGCTTTACAGATACCTTGGCCTTAGGGTTGACCTGTCCATTGATCAGAACATAGAGATCATTACTATCATGGTTTCTAGAATCACATTTCTAATTATGATAATAATCAGATCCAATATGACAGAATTTTCACCTGATGGAGGTCAAAAATCAGTTGGGCAAGATCCTCGATAGAATAAATATCATGATGTGGAGGTGGGGATATAAGGGGAACCCCAGGCTTAGAATTTCTTAATCTTGCAATATATGCACTAACTTTTTTCCCAGGCAACTGTCCGCCTTCACCAGGCTTTGCACCTTGGGCAATTTTGATCTCCAATTGATCAGCATTGACCAAGAATGTTGGAGTGACACCAAAACGTCCTGAAGCAACCTGAAGAAGATGCAACAATTATTTTGTGAAGTATTATTGGTGTACTAAAAGCATAACAGAAGATGCACCCTATCTGGGTATTTTAAAGACAGAGTAATGTCCTATGATGGAAACATCATTACTTTTCGCAATGCACTTTCTGTCCGTTTTTAATTCTATATATATATATATACACACATCTAAACAAGCACAGTAACAAAATTCTAAAACAATGGATGTTAGAACGCATAATGAAGTTGACCAAAAAGAAAATATTAAACACTTTTGACCTGCTTGATAGCACTTGTAGCAGTATCCCCGTTTTGAAGACCTTTGAGATGAGGCAGTGTTGGAGAGTAGCCATCAACAACATCAGTAAGTGGGCTCCACCGAATTGGGTCCTGGATTAAAATAAATATTGCATATAACATAACACCCATATACAGTTCATGGTGGAAGGAATAAATCTAAGAGTGGATAAAAAATAAAAAAAAACTTCTCGAGTTGGAAGGATGAAAAAAAAGAGACGGAATATGATTGTGCAATGCGCTTAAAATAAGTACTGAATACTACCTCACCACCTTCTCCTGAATTAGACTTTCCACCCAATCTATTCATTGCAATAGCAATTGCTTCATGAGTTTCCCTAGATATAGCTCCAAGTGACATGCCACCAGTGCAAAACCGTTGAACAATAGATACAGCAGGTTCAACCTTTCCAACTGGAATTGGGGCACGATCACTTTTAAACTCAAGAAGATCACGAAGAACCTACATTGAAAAAGAACAAAATAAATGTTGCATGAGATTCTTTCCAAAATATTGGTTTTTAATTATCTAAGAAAAATCAGAAAGGTCACACAACAAAGAAAAAGAAATGACTACAACAATTTACATTGACAGGTCGATTAGCCAAATGCTGCTGATACACTGAATAAGCACTTTCACTCTTTTGGCGAACAGCTTTGTGAAGCAGCTTTGACATCTCTGGGTTGTTTCCATGATATTCCCCTTTACATAATGTATGACAGTACGAGAAATAAAGCTTCAGCGTCATTAACAAGAAAAAAAAATATACTAAGTTTTAATAATTATAAATCATTAAGTTATGCTGCAGGCAGAAAGGTAGTGCAGCAGGGAAATATGATCCAAGAACCATAACATCAAAGAAGCATGTTACTATCCAGGATCCTTGAAACAAAGGCAGGATTCTGATATCTTTATGTAGTTATAAATAAATATGATCAATAATGGATTTTCAGTGATATTCTGCTGAGTCAGTCGTAATTAGAACTTGGTGGACAGGAATTCCCCATTTGCATCTTTCCTTTCTCTAGTTATGAACAGTAGTAAGAATTTCCTCTCTCTAAATAGAACTTGATGAGTTTGTATTCTTTATTTGATAAATAAAAATTATTTCATAAAAATAAGGAAGGACAGCAAGGCACCCTAAAGGAACCCACAAAACAAGTCATATACCCTCACCAAAATGTGCCTCCCCCAGAAAATCTATTTTTTTAAGAAAATAAGGTGGGGAAAACTCAAACTTTCCCTTCATCCAAAAATGAGAAGCCCTCAACATATTCAATTACACCTATGTATCAGCAACTGTACACCTTCCAAAGAAAAGCAAAGAAAAACATAAAAGAAAGTTGCAAAGCTTTATTATTTAGAGAGCTCCATTATCCCCACTTCAGCAAATATTTACAACTCCTAAACATTCCCCTTGAGAAAATTAATTTTTACCAGATCCAACGTTATATAGAATGGGCCAAAAGCACTACATTCCTCCAAAAGATTTACTAAGGTTTGGGAGGACGAAGGCTCGGCCTGGGAGTGAAAATAAAACACAGGATTTCTCAGTTGATCCATGAAAGACATCACCTATGTTGGTAAAAAGTATGCGTCTGCAACCAGTGTTCTCCTTTTGGCTCACAAAAGGGAAGAGGGCTGGTTGTTTTAAAATGAATAACATCAAATCTTACCCTTAAAAAGGCACTCAGATTATTTTGCTCTATTTTTTACGTGATCTTTGGAAATTTAAGAACAAGATTGAATCATTTGAATCATGTATGAAATAATTTAAACCAATGAAACTAAAGTAATTTACTATTTCCCTTGTCCTAACTATCTGTCCTACAATTTCAACAAGGTCTCAGTACCCAGAAAAAGAGAAGTAATTTGAACACAATTTAACTATGCATATTCCCAACAGAAATTAGTCGAAAATACTAGATGTTTAATAACAAAAGTTCACCTCCTGGTCTGAATTGTATAAACCCAAAATTTTCTAGTCTTTTAGCTGTATCCTCGGAGAAAGCCCTCACCCAAAATGATAAAGTCTCCCTTGCCAGCTGCAGGACATAAATATTTCACGAACCTAAAATTAATGAGGGGCTCAAATATCCACAATGCAATACCAGCATAGTAAATGCATTAAATGTTCCAAAGTTATCACCAAAACCTTTCAGGAAAGAAACCATTGGATATAGACCCACTACAATTGGTCATATAGTTAGGTTTAAATGCTGATATATTGCTTATCCACGAGAAATATACATGCAAGTCTGTGCAGGCAACAAAGTTTTGACTAGTTAAATTTGGAAGCTTTATGTATTTGCTGAACAGAGCATAAACCATTGGTTTCTCAAATTAGACATCTCCATCCAAACTATATTCCAGGTGATTAAAATAATTACCAGGAAGATGCTAAAATAGTGATCTCTAGCATCCAAAGTTATATTGCAAGCATTGTTGTCAAATCGCAAATTGAATCGTGAATCGTAAGATTCGTTTTATTTAGCATAATATCCAAAAAAAATTATATGTATATACATATAAAAATATACACGGTGTTTAAAATAAAATAAATATCAATATAACGAAATTGTATATATACATATAAAATCATGTATATCAATAATTGATAGACCACTTTTTTATTTTTGCAAAAACGACTAGTGGGTGAAGTAGGTGGAGAGGGTAGTGGTGTAGTGGATTAGGTTTAGTGGAGTAGGTTTAAGTGGGTGAAGTAGGTGGAGAGTAGGTGGATTTTAACACAATTGAATCATACGATTCACTCAATTTAAGATTTAACGACACACATCAAATAATTTTGGTTGAAAATCATATCAAATCGTATGATGAATAGATCTGTAAATTGTAAGATTCTAAATACCATGATTGCAGGTGATCAAAATAGCAACACAAAGGTATTAAATTTCTACATTTAAAAGATATAAGTGATAAGAAGACATGGAAGATCAATATTCTGGCCTCCTAGTTCACCAGCTAAAATAAGTAATCTCCGTGCATTTAATACTAAGTAGAATACAAAACATGTAGATCCGTGCTAAGCTATATACTTCTGGTATAATTAGATCAATAATTCCACTTTTTATAATAACATCCACTTGACCATAACAAAATGTCTGCGCTGCCATGTCCAAAAGTAAATAAATGGATACAGCAGGACAGATCAATGAGTTCTAAAAGAGTAATTTTTTTTACTGATAAATGAGTTCTGAAGGAGTAAATTGGAACACATCAATTAACCACATGTTTGTGAAACATCATACTCTTAAATAGAGAACTACTCCTCCTGTCGGATCGAATGAGTTCAGACATGAAATTTTTAAATAGCAATACACATTGTGTTTGTTAAAAATGAACGTAGAGTTAAACTAAACCAAGAAGTTGTAGAGGTCATGATCCTTTTTGTTACATTTCTTACCTCATCAAGAGTTAATCCACCAATACTAGATACACTGCCACAAAATGCAAGATCAACAACCTCCTTTCCTAATCCATAAATTTCAAATATCTGTGCACCACAATAACTAAATCCAAGAAACTTGTCAATGAGATCTATCGTTGGAACCAAACGAGAATAATTACGGTTGTATAAGGTCACTATTCAAAAGAAATAAGAATTTGGACACGTACCTTGAAAGTAATGAGATGCCCATTTTGGAGAGAATTTTCTGTAGGCCAGATTTGACAGCCTGCAATGTTGTTTACAATCATCATATTCTCTTCAAGATGATGAGTTAAAAATCATTTACTTTCACTAAAGTAAGGTAAAGTAAACAATCAGACAACAATCCATACTAACAGAAATCATTAACCAAAGTCATGACTAAAAATAATAAAAAAATAAGGATTTTATTTTTTATTTTTTATTTTTTAAAAAAGCTGAACGCAGATAAGTACAATTTTGCCCAAAATTTGAAGTCACAATGTTCATCGAAATGCGGATAATTAAAAGTAGCTTGATATCTGAATGCTGTTCCCAACTTTGTAACTGCACTTGTTCAATGATTATTGAACTTCATTTGGATGTTAAAACAAGAACTGATAAGACTTGTATATGTATTTATTATTACTCCTCTTTTTTTTTCCCCATTTTATGTCAAAAACCCCTACAGTCAATCATAAACATCTGAACACAAGAAGTTGGAGCCACCCAATTCATATCTACCAACTGAAACAATTTGTGCCATACAGCCATAGCTATTGGGCAATGAAAAATAACATGGAAAATAACAAATCATTGGGAAAAAGGGACAACTTATTACAAATAAGTGGGAACCTTTTGACAGCCTGATTTGTAATAAATGCCCCTTTCCGCACCGATTTGAAATAAATTGGCCCTGTTCCCACTGATTTGTTATTTTTTCAATAAATTATCAATAATATCTTTCTTACTGAATGCTGAAAATTGTGTTCATGCATATAATATGATAGTGGTGTTGGTGGTAGATAGTGGTATGTATAGAATATGATAGTGGTGTTGGTTGTAGATAGTGGCATGTATAGAATATGATAGTGGTGTTGGTGGTAGATAGTGGCATGTATATAATATGATAGTGGTAGATAGTGGTAATATATAATATGTAAGTGGCATATAATGGGTTATGATGATGTTTGTAATATCTCCTATATAAGGAGTGTCATTTGGTCTTGTAAGATAAGAAGTTTTGAATATAACAGAAATATATTCCTTCTTCCTCATATTTTCGGAGTTCTTCTTCTTCATATTTTCTAAGTCTGAATATGAAAAAGAAAAAACATAACCATAGCGGAATCAAAAGACAATTAGTCCTCCTTTACTAAATATGAAGTAGTTGATCATCATGTTGGTCCAAATTGCTAAAATCCCACCAAGCATGAAGCATGGATACAAAAGTTTTCTTGACAAACAGCACTCAAAACCCACTTTATATTCTTTTTATGCTCCATGGTCCCTAATCCCCAGTCACAATAAGCAGTGGTTTGGCTAAAAAAAGTGGAGGAAAGAAATTGAGACTATACAAGGGAACTAAAAGGGATTGGTTAGGAAAAAATACTTGGCTAGTGAGATGTAATATATAACCATAGGTGATGTCGTGTAGATACATGGTTGTCATTTGGATGATAAATCACAGGAATTTGATTGATACATCACAAAATTCCTGTATCAGGCATATAAAAACACATCTTACATTTCCTATAACAAAAAGAAAGTTAGGAGCACTTCTAATAAGGTATATCATCAAAGTCAATCTAGAATTCCATTACATTGTACCGCATTGCATTCAACTCCAATCCTGTATATTAGTGGCTGAAGTCACTAGATGGTAACAAGATCTTTGTCACAAGTTCACTGCTCCCACAAAAATGTCTTTGATGAATTTATTAATCCACATCACTATGGTTGACACTATCTATGGATTGCAATAGCTGTCAAACTACAGATTATAACGAGCAAAGCTACCCCACATGCAAGCTATTAAGAAGGACATCTAGCTCCAATAGTTTATCATCTCCAAGTACTCACGTCAAAGTAATGAAATAGAAGCAATAAGGGAATAAACAAGTAAGTGACACCTAAATATCAAGAACCAAAAGTTAAACAATGCTTGATTAATTCACCACCTAAGGTGTACAAAATCAATCAAAGTCTGCCCAGATACTTAAATTGACATAATTAATGGATGCTTCAGTACTTATGTACAACACAAAAACATTCCAGACACAATGCACAGACCTTGCAGAAGTTCTTTTGAGCTTGCTCAATTGTAACAGTTGGCATCTTGCCATTGCGCATTAGGTTTACAGTTTTATTGCTTAAACGCCATTGCCTGCATGTCTCCAATGCCAAGTATGGACACACAGCACTGAAAAGAAAATTATAAAGAAAAATTAAATGCATTGTCAGGATGATAAAGACATGCAATGATTTTAATGTGTGCACTGTGATCATTCCTACTTGTGCAAGAAACAAGCTGAAAGAATGGAAACAACAGAAGATATAAAGGATCCTTTCCATTCAAATTTCTGAAAAAGTTTGGAAGAAGAATATAAAAGGATTCACAATTGTTATTAGCAGGATTAGGTTTCTGCCACTGTCACGTGATGAGCCTGGCAGAGAATCCTTCGACTACTAGCACTGGCAAAACAAAATTGGACCAAGGTGGGAAAAATTGAAAGTTCCGATTTTACAGCTTATTTCTGAAATTTCTAGCAAGAAAGGCTTGAATTCCGCACACAACAGATCTCTGAGACAATCCCTAGGAAGGAAGACTTGAAATCTGAATCTTATTCTTCAAATCATTTTCCCTAAACCCTAAAACCTCTTTCATTAAGCAGATTAGACTTTGGCTTAGGTGAGGCACTCGCTGCAGAATTGTTATCAATCCACATGCAACCCATTAATTTAGACCATTACCAGACAAAACTCATCAACATCAATTGGTTGACTACTCAACCTAGCAATGAGATGGACATATGTCTGGTCAAGAGAGTGCAGTATCTTTGAGTTAAGGAACAACTTGACTTATGGAGCATATGAGAAAACTGAACAGAAATAAAGATCCGAGATAAGTTATAAATAAATAAATAGGACTAAGGAAATGGACATGAATCAAGAAACCAGTATCAAAACCACCTGATTTTTATCTTTTGAATAGACTTAATCTAAGTTTGAAGATAATGCACATAAGAATACATAATTTCTCCAACATATACAGCGAAAGAACTAATATTATATCAGCATTAAGGGAAAATGCTGGACGCGCCATAGTCAAAGAGAAGCAAAATAACCTTGCACCATATCCTATCAAACAAGCAAACTGATGAGTACTGAAGCACTGAGCAGTTTCTGCTACAATGGAAGCAGACATTCGCAAGCCACTTTGAATCAAGTGTTGGTGCACAGCACCTACAGCAAGAAGTATTGGAATGGCAGGCCGAGTCGGTTCCTGAAAAAAAATAAAATCAATAAATTAATAATAATAGAAAAATGTAAATATTTGTCCAGGCATAAAAGAACAAAAAAAGGTATAAAGCTGCTTGGCATGAAATAAGCCTACTATCCATATCTAATCAATAAGAAATGACTGATAAGAGCTCAATAAAGTGGTCGCACTCAACAAACTACAAAAACTTGGCAGATTACAACATCGAGGAATGCAACATTTTTTTATGCTACTCAATTAAAAGAACTGCCTTGATCCCAATTACTTAGGGTCTGCTACATGGATCCAATTCCTTCAATTGACTTTGTTAAAAGCAACGTCCTCATTTAACAGACTTCTACCCTATTATTTGAAGACATGAACCAAACCCTTCAATGAGGATTTAAAAAGGATGTTATGAAATAGTGCTCCTAGTGTTAAGTCACCAATTTTCCCAAAAACTTAAGCTATTAAAAAATGGGCCCTATAATGTATATCAAGCTATTCAACACCTAACAGAATTCATAAAACTTAGTACAACAACAAAATTGGAATACATGATGATATTGAAAACAAATATACGGAAAAATTATTAAAAGAAACTGGAGATTACCGAGAGACAGAGAGACACAAAGAGAGAGGCATAAATGATCTCCATATTTAAAAGGCATATTATAGCATAGACAACATTGAAGGGTACTCACCAACTCATCGGACCTGTCAGAGAGAATAAGTAATTGACAACCATTTCTTACAGCTTCATCAGCAGCTTTACAAAGTTTATTAAGTGTCTTTTCCAAGGAACCTTCAAGCCCTTTTCTTATATCAAAAAAAGTTTGTAGGACTTGGGGCTTCAGGTAGGGATCTTTCAGCAACAACTCAAGCTCCCCTTCATTCAATACAGGACTAGACAAAATAACCTGGTACAAAGAATAATTAAGTTCTACAAAAAAAAATTAAAAAAAAACTAAAAGAGAGTTGAATGAAAGAGAATTGAGCATTATACAAAGCCAATATTAGCAGACATGTCCGGGTGCTGCAAATAATAAAAAGCCATGACAATTGAAATGCTAACAGACCTGAGAGGCATTCTCAGGCCCGACCTCCAATAGGTTTCCACGCTTCCCAATGTTGACTTCAAGTGACATTACCAATCCTTCTCTTAGAGGATCAATAGCTGGATTTGTAACCTGGTATATATACGAAAGAAATAATCGGAAGGACGTAAGATTCAATAAATATAGTCAAAAGCCAAGTCCATTATAGAATCTACAAAATATGATGCCAAAAGAACTACATTCAAAGTGAACTTTTCTTAAAACGTCACTCAAACATACTAATTTAACACATTGGCCAGTGGCAGATAGCATGCTAGAAGAGAGATGTAATAATTATTTTGTTTTCATAAGTAAATAAAAAAATAAAAAGTAACTATTAGTGTTTTATAGCATAATGATACAACAATTATTATATGATTCATGATGCAAAACACTAATTTCTGGGTGGAAATTTTTTTTCTTAGGTCCCCTCCTGCAAAGCAACTCACATGTAACACAAAACTCAGTAATGGTGCTTCCAATTAAAAGGAAAAACATATTTCCAAGTTGAATATGGATTAGTTGCCAATCCAACCAGTGCAATTAATTGGCAAGAAGCTGGAACATGACGGCAGAGAATCCCTACCTTCTGATTCTCTAAGCTCATAATGCTAGATAAAGATAAGCATTGTGTTACTAGAGACATGTTTGGGAATAACCAAGAAACAAAGTATCGATAAAAAGGAAACAATGCAGTATTAAAAATAGAAAATAATACAATCATATATCTGTATAATTGTTTTTCAGGTGAAAAGAGGAAACGAAAAAAAAAAGCGAGAAGAAAAAAGTATATACTGTAATAGCATATAGGGTAAGTTTTACATGAAGTTTTCTAAAGCATCACTCCAGATAACAATGCATAATTTGGATAATACACCACATTTTTAAGCGTGTCAACATCAAATTCAGGTCAAATACAAGCATAACTATCAAATAAAATTCAAGCGTAAATATATAAATTGCATAAACATAAATGTAGATAATAAGGCAGGTCTTTTCTGCACCTTGACTAAAAGCATGCAACTTTGGAACCTAGGCTCATACCTTGTTAATAGTTCCACACTTGGACCCAAGCAAAGCTCAAAACCCAAACATCAATGCACCTTGTCCCTTTAACGATTATGGACTATGTAGATATCTTAATTAATAAGCTTAGACGTTTAGGAAGTTCTCCAAGTGCTGAATCAATTTTTTTCTAGTAGGGTGCCAATCATTAGAGTTACTTAAGCTAACCTTCCCTGCGACCATTAAGACTGTTTTGTGAGTCAGGTGAGGTAACTTCCATTAGTATGATATGAGACCATACTATTGGCCAAGGGGGGATCAGGTGGGGGCAACTTCCATTGGAAGTGGGGCTTGGTATTAACGGTTGCTTGTGCCACAACTGCCCACTGCTACCACTATCCAACTTGTAAATTACACCTTTGACAAATTAACCAACAATTAAATCACCTATTGTTGTCACGTCAAGAATAATTCCTAACCATGACCCCGAGACATTATTTTACTACCATCACAATTCAGTCAAATATTGTTATCGTAACAAACAACTAGCCACACCATTAGAATATTCAGGCTCATCTAAAACCAAAAAAAAAAAAAAAAAAATTAAAAACAATTGGCAAACCTGAGCAAACCGCTGCTTGAAATAATCATAAAGCATATGTGACTTCTGAGACAATATCGCCAGTGGAATATCATCCCCCATGCAAAATGTAGGCTCCTTTCCTTGTGCAGCCATAGTTTCAATGACCATTTGGACATCCTCACTGGAGTAGCCATAAGCCCTGTTTCCATCAAGTATAAGAACGAGTACCTTTAATACCTTCTGTAGAAAATTTAATGTATAGAGAGAAATAGAGAATTGTATTATTGATTGATTTTGATGTGTTGTTCTGTCTATTACAAATGGTTCCTTATATAGATGTAGGTGTAGTGGATGGTGGTAGTGGTGTAGTGGGTTAGGTTTAGTGGAGTAGGTGAGGTGGTGTAGTGGGTTAGGTTTAGTGGAGTAGGTGAGGTGGTAGTGGTGTAGTGGGTTAGGTTTAGTGGAGTAGGTGAGGTGGTAGTGGTGGTAGGTGATGGTAAATTCTAACACCTTCTAAGATGGTTAAAGTTGCAATAATCAAACACAAAGTAAACCTTTCATCAAAATCAAACTACAAAGACACAGTTGACTTTTCCTTGTCAAAAAAAAAAACTTAGGATACTTCAACCAGGATGGATAAATCAAAAAAATCACTCAAATCAATTGATACAGACCCAATATGATATTTTTACGTAGAATCTCTTTAAAATCATGACCTTCTGGATACAATGCTGTCAATATTTTTCTTGCACTACACCATTAATAGTTAGTAGACAAACCATATAAATATTTCGCTCCAAGTGTTAGTGAAGCACATCTTAAAACATGACATCCATTTATGCAGATACTAGGAGCTGGTAACACACATCATGTGCATACTCTCTCCTCCCTTCTCAATTCTTCCCCAAAAACATTTTGAGGAACCAACTCTATTTTCAATCCAGGTTAACCCAATTACAAATTTAATGTAACATTTCAATTCATGATAATGTAGGAAGGCTTTTAAAGAAAAGAAAGGGTAAAAATTAGAGAAAGCCCCAAAAGGTAGGATTTATCTTTTTATAATATGGAAACACTATGGTTTACCCCTATATTATTATAAATGTTATTCGCCATTTAGGCATCATTCTTACTGCAAGTCTGCAAATATATTTCAAGGCATAAGACCGGTGCTCTGATGTTTGGTTGGAAAAATAAGTTATAAACACTGACAACACATGTGTTTTAGAGTGCTGCCATGTTCCAACATACGAGGTATTCTTGCGAGCTTCCAGATTCGCTTTATGATATATATATATATATTTAGCAACCACATTCCAGCAATCTGTCCTATGTCTAAGGGGATTTTTTTCTGTATCCTCGTATTATGATGTGTGTTCATGAGGAGGCTGCGGTTTTCCCTTGGAAGTGTGTTTGGGTGCCAGATACCCCATCCAAGGTGGCCTTTTTTGTGTGGATGGTCATGTTGGGGAGTATCTTGACTATTGAAAACTTAATTCGTCGTGGCCATATATGGGTCATGTAAGTAATAGATGTATTATTGATTGATATAATGATCGATTGTGTGTATTACAAATGGTGAGTGGCTCATTATATAGGAGAGGGTGAGTGTAGTAGGTGAGGAGTAGGTGGTGGTAGGTGATGGTAAATTGGTGGTAGGTGATGGTAAATTTTAACAGCCCCCCGCAAACTCAAGGAGGATAGAAACTAACCAACTTGAGTTTGGAGAGAGTAACAAAACAAGAAAATACATAAAAATAAAAGAGGATAAGAGACACTGTATGGTCGTGTCAGACCATTGGTGAAGACACTGGATGGTGGTGTCATAACGTTGTAGAGGACACTGTATAGGGGTGTCATAACATTGTAGAGGACACTGTATGGGGGTGTCATAACATTGTAGAGGACACTGTATGGGGGTGTCATAACATTGTAGAGGACACTGTATGGGGGTGTCATAACATTGTAGAGGACACTGTATGGGGGTGTCATAACATTGTAGAGGACACTGTATGGGGGTGTCATAACATTGTAGAGGACACTGTATGGGGGTGTCATAACATTGTAGAGGACACTGTATGGGGGTGTCATAACATTGTAGAGGACACTGTATGGGGGTGTCATAACATTGTAGAGGACACTGTATGGGGGTGTCATAACATTGTAGAGGACACTGTATGGGGGTGTCATAACATTGTAGAGGACACTGTATGGGGGTGTCATAACATTGTAGAGGACACTGTATGGGGGTGTCATAACATTGTAGAGGACACTGTATGGGGGTGTCATAACATTGTAGAGGACACTGTATGGGGGTGTCATAACATTGTAGAGGACACTGTATGGGGGTGTCATAACATTGTAGAGGACACTGTATGGGGGTGTCATAACATTGTAGAGGACACTGTATGGGGGTGTCATAACATTGTAGAGGACACTGTATGGGGGTGTCATAACATTGTAGAGGACACTGTATGGGGGTGTCATAACATTGTAGAGGACACTGTATGGGGGTGTCATAACATTGTAGAGGACACTGTATGGGGGTGTCATAACATTGTAGAGGACACTGTATGGGGGTGTCATAACATTGTAGAGGACACTGTATGGGGGTGTCATAACATTGTAGAGGACACTGTATGGGGGTGTCATAACATTGTAGAGGACACTGTATGGGGGTGTCATAACATTGTAGAGGACACTGTATGGGGGTGTCATAACATTGTAGAGGACACTGTATGGGGGTGTCATAACATTGTAGAGGACACTGTATGGGGGTGTCATAACATTGTAGAGGACACTGTATGGGGGTGTCATAACATTGTAGAGGACACTGTATGGGGGTGTCATAACATTGTAGAGGACACTGTATGGGGGTGTCATAACATTGTAGAGGACACTGTATGGGGGTGTCATAACATTGTAGAGGACACTGTATGGGGGTGTCATAACATTGTAGAGGACACTGTATGGGGGTGTCATAACATTGTAGAGGACACTGTATGGGGGTGTCATAACATTGTAGAGGACACTGTATGGGGGTGTCATAACATTGTAGAGGACACTGTATGGGGGTGTCATAACATTGTAGAGGACACTGTATGGGGGTGTCATAACATTGTAGAGGACACTGTATGGGGGTGTCATAACATTGTAGAGGACACTGTATGGGGGTGTCATAACATTGTAGAGGACACTGTATGGGGGTGTCATAACATTGTAGAGGACACTGTATGGGGGTGTCATAACATTGTAGAGGACACTGTATGGGGGTGTCATAACATTGTAGAGGACACTGTATGGGGGTGTCATAACATTGTAGAGGACACTGTATGGGGGTGTCATAACATTGTAGAGGACACTGTATGGGGGTGTCATAACATTGTAGAGGACACTGTATGGGGGTGTCATAACATTGTAGAGGACACTGTATGGGGGTGTCATAACATTGTAGAGGACACTGTATGGGGGTGTCATAACATTGTAGAGGACACTGTATGGGGGTGTCATAACATTGTAGAGGACACTGTATGGGGGTGTCATAACATTGTAGAGGACACTGTATGGGGGTGTCATAACATTGTAGAGGACACTGTATGGGGGTGTCATAACATTGTAGAGGACACTGTATGGGGGTGTCATAACATTGTAGAGGACACTGTATGGGGGTGTCATAACATTGTAGAGGACACTGTATGGGGGTGTCATAACATTGTAGAGGACACTGTATGGGGGTGTCATAACATTGTAGAGGACACTGTATGGGGGTGTCATAACATTGTAGAGGACACTGTATGGGGGTGTCATAACATTGTAGAGGACACTGTATGGGGGTGTCATAACATTGTAGAGGACACTGTATGGGGGTGTCATAACATTGTAGAGGACACTGTATGGGGGTGTCATAACATTGTAGAGGACACTGTATGGGGGTGTCATAACATTGTAGAGGACACTGTATGGGGGTGTCATAACATTGTAGAGGACACTGTATGGGGGTGTCATAACATTGTAGAGGACACTGTATGGGGGTGTCATAACATTGTAGAGGACACTGTATGGGGGTGTCATAACATTGTAGAGGACACTGTATGGGGGTGTCATAACATTGTAGAGGACACTGTATGGGGGTGTCATAACATTGTAGAGGACACTGTATGGGGGTGTCATAACATTGTAGAGGACACTGTATGGGGGTGTCATAACATTGTAGAGGACACTGTATGGGGGTGTCATAACATTGTAGAGGACACTGTATGGGGGTGTCATAACATTGTAGAGGACACTGTATGGGGGTGTCATAACATTGTAGAGGACACTGTATGGGGGTGTCATAACATTGTAGAGGACACTGTATGGGGGTGTCATAACATTGTAGAGGACACTGTATGGGGGTGTCATAACATTGTAGAGGACACTGTATGGGGGTGTCATAACATTGTAGAGGACACTGTATGGGGGTGTCATAACATTGTAGAGGACACTGTATGGGGGTGTCATAACATTGTAGAGGACACTGTATGGGGGTGTCATAACATTGTAGAGGACACTGTATGGGGGTGTCATAACATTGTAGAGGACACTGTATGGGGGTGTCATAACATTGTAGAGGACACTGTATGGGGGTGTCATAACATTGTAGAGGACACTGTATGGGGGTGTCATAACATTGTAGAGGACACTGTATGGGGGTGTCATAACATTGTAGAGGACACTGTATGGGGGTGTCATAACATTGTAGAGGACACTGTATGGGGGTGTCATAACATTGTAGAGGACACTGTATGGGGGTGTCATAACATTGTAGAGGACACTGTATGGGGGTGTCATAACATTGTAGAGGACACTGTATGGGGGTGTCATAACATTGTAGAGGACACTGTATGGGGGTGTCATAACATTGTAGAGGACACTGTATGGGGGTGTCATAACATTGTAGAGGACACTGTATGGGGGTGTCATAACATTGTAGAGGACACTGTATGGGGGTGTCATAACATTGTAGAGGACACTGTATGGGGGTGTCATAACATTGTAGAGGACACTGTATGGGGGTGTCATAACATTGTAGAGGACACTGTATGGGGGTGTCATAACATTGTAGAGGACACTGTATGGGGGTGTCATAACATTGTAGAGGACACTGTATGGGGGTGTCATAACATTGTAGAGGACACTGTATGGGGGTGTCATAACATTGTAGAGGACACTGTATGGGGGTGTCA